TAGTCTTCTGCAAAATCCCTTTTGATATATACCTATATGATATATATATATATATATATATATATATATATGTCTTCTGGCTGTAAATAGGCAGAGATGTAATTGATAACACAGCAGAGGGTGGTTTGTATATGCTGATGATAATTATGTCATTGACCTAGACAGCACTCCATTCTATTGCACTTTGGGATGGATTATGTCCCTTGGCAGATCATTTCTGATGAAGGTATCAAGGTCGTGGATCATGCTGGCTACAGTCTGCAAGCTTCATCTTCTGCACCTGCTCTATTTGTGTTTCCTGTAGAAGGATTGCATGTGGTTTCATTTCCCTGGTGATGCGTTCCAGCACTGATTGAGTGAGGTATAGACTTCAATATTAAGTTGAAAAACAGTCAAGCTTTCCCTTCATAGATAGGAGAGGTTGCTCTGGCTCATCCTGTAGTTAGTATATCCAAATTGGAAAGTATAGTGTATTGAAACTGGAAAAACTGGAAGTCCAATTACCTTGGTGTAGTGACTTCTGGTTTTACTTTACAGCTTCTCATGGGAAACCCCATGAGAAGGTAGTTGCTGTTGTCCCCATGCTATTCAATGTATGGATGCCAGAGTATGATCCTAAACAACATGAAAAAAAAGATTTGTGGAGAAAAAGTAGGTATTACATAAAAATACAATTATATTCCAGAAATGTTATAAAAGTTAGATGTTTAAGAGGGCAGAGAGCAGTCATCATAGATTAAGAGATTCAGAACTTAAGTCTAAACCCATCTTTAGACTCCTATTTTTGTAAAGTTTTCAACACCAAACAGCTCCTGTTGAGGTAAATGGATCTCCACACCAGCATTATGTAAGATACATTTTAGGATGAAAACAAATAACATTCTGAACTCACCCGTGTTTAAAATCTATGCACAAACCCCTGGTAAAGTTCATGTTTGGTTACGACACACAGCACTGAAATGGTTGATTTAATAACACTCCTAGAAACTTCTCCCATGGTCATGCTTAAAGACATTGGTCAGCAAATTATTCACTATGGATGAAATCTTGACTCCATTGAAATCAGTGGGAATTTTGCTATTGATTTCAGTACTGGTAGGATTTCATCCTTACTCTACTGCAAGGAATATATTACTGATTTATAGGCAAATCAGAATCAGTCCTGAACTTCTCAGAACTTTCTGTTGTGTACTGATCCTCCAACTCTTGTTTGCTTTCTGTTAACCTGATGTACAATAAGATTTGCAAGAATCCCTAAGCAGCAATACTAGCTGCCTGCTTATAGTTCATATCACCTAGCAACAAGGATCAGCCATACACAGATTGGCATTAATGATGGCTGCAATGGGAGAAAAGCAGTAGCCTGAAAGTTGGCTCAGTTACAAACACAATTAGGTTGCACTCTTACTGCAAGCTCTGCAGGACAGATACAAGAGATGACTGCTGATTTATTTCCCCCCAGCAGATAAGGAACCAGGTGAAAAGTACATAAAGGAGAAATTATGTGATGCTGTGCAAAATTTCTCCCTGGTTTGAGTGTGTATGAGCCAGAAAAACAATCACTGGATAGTGCAGAGGGAAGAGAAGTGGGCTAGAGAGGTAACATAGAATAGATACAGTCATCGCTCACCAGATTATTTATTATCCATATACAGATATTATTCATGAATTGGGAAAAAGCAAGGAAAGGATTAAAGTAAATCAAGAGATAGACTAACAGGACTCACAGGCATGAATTCTTGTAGGGTTCAGGAGCTCCAATCATTCCTTGCCATACACATAATATTTATGCTTGTCATTAAACTCTCCATGCAAAAAACAACACCAGGCTTCTTTTAGATTCTGATTTAAGCTTATAAAGTAGACAGCTGACGATCCACTGGCTAATTTAAAGGCCAGCAAGCTCATCGTTTGATTCCCATGTATTGTTTGGTGAGATTTAGTGGAATGTAAAGAGACAACATTGTTTTACACTGAAAAGAAGCCAAGATTTACAAGCATTTTTCATCCATAGAGATACTAACATCTTATTTGAGCCAGAATGCAGGGGACCAAACTCCATCTGGTCAGTAGAACACCAACAATTTACTTGACTGAGAATCTGGCATGCAACATCATAGATTTCATTAAAGATTGGCAATCAGATTAGCATTGGCTTACTTTTACTAGGCATATCAGAAATGCCAGCCAACTGGAAATTTTAAACTGCCAAACCAAACTCTTTAATGAAGCAAATACATATTCCCCTGCAATGTTTGCAACCCAGATATTATTAGTGTTTTAGAATTAGGAATGGTCAGGAATTTTTCAGCTAATGTTTGCTTGTCAGAAAATGCCAATTCATCAAAAAATTGAAGCAAAAAATGGTTATTTATCTTTCAATAACCTTAATTCTTCAAGATGTTCTGTGCATATGGATCTCCCTCATGATATGCACCTACCCTCTGTCAATGCACTGGGAATGCTTTCACCACTGGTGGCTCTGTGAAGTATGCATATGCTCTTACGCTGTCCCTTGTAAGGGCATAAAGGACAGAGCAGCCCCCCCAACCAACATATACTTCTTTTCCCTCCTGGAATCCAGGTGAGAAAAGTCCAAGCTGTGTATAACTGGTGTTCACTTGGTGGCATGAAACTAGGTGT